CTGTTTCTCATTTGGGCAGGTCAGTTTGTTGAGTTATGTTTTTGTTAAGTGACTTTTGAGTAGTGTTCTGTTAAGGTAACCTCTTTTATGGGCCCACTTGGTTCTTAAAAACTTTGTTTGTTATTTTGAATTTTTGTAATCATCTTGTCCTTTTTGGGGGTGTAATAAAACCCATTTTTTTGAAGATTACATTTGTCCCTGTGTGTTCCTGGCTGCTTGGGTCATGACACCCTTTTTCACATCCTACAGTGAAAATAACAAAGTTTGGAGTAAAATGTCAGTCATATATATTTCATCTCTGTCATATTTTTTATATTTATGACTGAGCTCTTTGTATATATTAGAGCCAATTCATATATTTTGTAAACTTTGTAATATATTGCATTATTTAATCTAGTTTAGTCTGTTACTGTTCTTATTGTCTATTGTCTCACTGTAAACACATAATTTCCTTAGTGAAGTATTCTGATTCTGATTACACTGCTGACAGAACTTTAAGCATCTGCAGAGACAGCATGCACCCAGAGGGGTTTTATAGCTGAATGTATGCAGACGCAATCCCAGCAGGCAAAGCCTGATCTTCATCAGGCAACAAAAGCAGTTTTTAGTGGTCAGATTTGAAGACTCCATTTCTACTTGTGCATGTTTCTAAAATAGAATCACCGTGGCGATTGCTTTAGTCTCTTCGGGTTGGTTTTCATCTTTGCCTTGTGTTGTCAACTCAAAAAACAAAGAGACTGTATTTGTGTTCTTATTAGGATAGTAATTTGTTTTGGTGCATATAGGTTTATATTGTTATTTAGTAATTTTGTGAAAATGTTTATCAAATAAAGGTTTTTCTTGAGTATTACATTCACCAAAAAAGTCTCTTGAGTCACTGATGTTCACCTGTACACCTCCAGGACACTGGGGCGTGCAGCTCGGATCTCAGCTGACCCTTCTCACCCTGGACACAGTCTGTTTGACCTGCTCCCCTCAGGCAGGAGGCTCCGGTCCATTCGCACCAGAACCTCTCGCCATAAGAACAGTTTCTTCCCCTCTGCTGTTGGACACATG